TTTGAGACGGAGTTTCGCTCTTGTTACCCAGGCTGGAGTGCAATGGCACGATCTCGGCTCACCGCAACCTCCACCTCCTGGGTTCAGGCAATTCTCCTGCCTCAGCCTCCTTAGTAGCTGGGATTACAGGCACGTGCCACCATGCCCAGCTAATTTTTTGTATTTTTTTAGTAGAGACAGGGTTTCACCATGTTGACCAGGATGGTCTCGATCTCCTGACCTCGTGATCCACCCGCCTCGGCCTCCCAAAGTGCTGGGATTACAGGCGTGAGCCACCACGCCCGGCCTCCTTCTTTTTTTTAAAGAAAGTTATTATATGGATTGAATGCTGTCCCTACCAAAAGATGTTGACTTCAGTACCTATGAAGGTGGCCTTATTTGGAAATGGGGTCTTTGCAGATGATCGAGTTAACATGCATCATTAGGGCAGGCTCTAACACAGTGTGACTGATGTCCTTATAAAAAGAGGAAATTTAGACAGAGACATACAGGCATTGAGAGAGTACAATGGGAAGACACAAAGAAAAGATGGCCGTTTACAAGCCGAGGAATACCTGAGGCTACAGAAGGAAGGAGAGAGACGAGGAACAGAGTCTGCCTCACAGTCCTCAGAAGAGACCAACCGTACCAACACTTTGATTTCAGACTTCCAGCCTCCAGAACTGTGAAGCACAATACATTTCTGTTGTTTAAGCCACCAGTTTGTGGTGCTGTGTTTTGGCAGTCTCAGGAAACAAATACAGTTAAGTTTGATAAAAATCTTCTGGTCCAATCTTATTTCTCCAATGAAGAAACTGAAGTTCAACAAATAAAATGACTTATGCAGTTGTGGAGCTCATTGGTGGACAGGACTCTAAATTCCCAGATCATTCCTCTCTCCAGTGCTATAACTGGTGTGATTTGGATAAATCACATCAGGCTTCTACCATTGGATCAAGAGAATGGAGCGACGTCATTCCTATCTTGTAATGTACACAGTACTAGATTTTAAAAGTTTAAGACAACGTGGAGTAGGTATGCTTCTCCTGTACTTTCGGTGTCAATGGGTTTTGCTAATGCTCACTGGCTCATCTTCTTTTTTTTTTTTTTTTTTTTTAAGGGAGTCTAACTGTGTCACCCAGGCTGGAGTGCAGTGGCGCAATCTTGGCTCACTGCAACCTCTGCCTCCCGGGTTCAAGCAATTCTCCTGTCTCAGCCTCCTGAGTAGATGGGACTACAGGTGCCCGCCACCACGCTTGGCTCATTTTTGTATTTTTAGCAGAGACAGGGTTTTGCCGTGTTGGCCAGGCTGGTCTTGAACTCCTGATCTAAGGTGATCCACCTGCCTTGGACTCCCAAAGTGCTGGGATTACAGGCTTGAGCTAATGTGCCCAGCCTCACTGGTTCATCTTTTTAAAAGCCATATGAGGTTGAAAATATTGCTAGTTAGGTTACATATCCAAGTTACAACTTATATGTAAAAAGAGCTGGCTACCTACGGCACTTATTGGGAAAATCAAGGACAATTTCATCTACATCTGACCACTTCTCTTGCAAAAATCTAGTTCTGGTGAAGCTATTGGAGCTCCCTGGGCCAGGCAAAGTTGTGACAGGTGAGAGGTACAGAGTATGTGTCCTACTTGTAAGCTGTTGATGGCAGAGAGCCTCTCTGCTCTCGTCTTCACAGCTGTAAAATCAGTGGTTGCCATCTTTAGAGAAGGAAAGAACTCATCAGCCTGCCTGCCTGCTATGGTTTGAATGTTTGTCCTCTCCAAAACTCATGTGGAAATTCAATTGCCAGTGTAATGATATTGGAAGATGGGACCTTTAAGAGGTAATTAGGCTGGGGGTGGGTTTAATGCCTTTCTAAATGGGCTTTTGAGAGTGGGTTCTCTTTTTCTCTCTTTGCTCTTGCACTCTTTTGCCAATAGCAAGTCCCCCACCCCATTCCCCAGAGAATGCAGCATTCAAGGTGCCATCTTGGAAACAGAGACTGGGTCTTCACCAAACACCAGACCTGCTGGTGCCTTGATCTTGGACTTTCCAGCCTCCAGAACTGTGAGAAATAAATTTATCTTCTTTATAAATTACCCAGTCTCAGGTATTCTGTCACAGCAACACAAAACAGATTAAGATATTGCCTCATTTTTCTCTGACTTCTTCTGGGGCCCAACACACTGCCTGGCACTGCCCTTCCTGTGTGGGGGGGATGGAAAGGCCCACTATGCTGTCCACATCAGACTTCCTTTTGGTCCTTAGTTGGAGCTTTCAAGGATCAGTCTCCAAGCTTCCATCTGACATGGCCGGGGAGGCGAAGCCAGGAAGTCGGTCCTTTTGCTTCCTCTCTTTCTTTGGATGCTAGCAGAGCTCACACACTACAGGCTTCTCTGCTCGCTGCTCCCAAGTCACTGCTCCCAAGTCGCTGCTCCATGCTACTTGGAGGAGTGGTTAGTACAGTCATCCCTCAGTATTCATGGGAGATTGGTTCCAGGACCCCCCATGGATGCCAAAATTCACAGATGCTCAAGTCCCTGATCTAAAGTGGCAAGTACTTGCATATAACCTATGCACCTCCTCCTGTATCTATGTATGTATGTATGTATGTATGTATGTATGTATGTATGTATCTATCTATCTATCTGTATCTAATCTATCTATCTATCTATCTATTTTTTTTTTTTTTCTGAGATGGAATCTTGCTCTGTCACCCAGGCTGTAGTGCAGTGGTATGATCTTGGCTCATTGCAACATCCATCTCCTGGGTTCAAGCAATTCTCATGCCTCAGCCTCTCAAGTAGCTGAGACTACAGGCATGTGTCACTATGCCTGGCTAATTTTTTGTATTTTTAGTAGAGATGAGGTTTCACCATGTTGGCCAGGCTGGTCTCGAACTCCTGACCTCAGGTGATCTGCCCACCTCGGCCTCCCAAAGAGCTGGGATTACAGGTGTGAGCCACCATGCCCAGACACTCCTGTAGACCTGAAATCATCTCTTGAATACTTAAAATAGCTTATACAATGTAAATTGTTGTACTGTATTGTTTAGGGAATAAAGAAAAGGAAAAATTCTTCACATGTTCAATATGAATGCAACTATCCATTTAAAAAATTCTCTAATATGTTTGATCTACAGTTGGTTGAATCCATGGATGTGAAAACCATGGATATGGAGGGCTGACTGTAATTGGATTTGAACTGGGAGAGAAAGGTTGCAGGAATTAACCTTTGTCATTGTCTGATTTTGAGAATTAACGGGAAACACCACACACTAAAATGTTCAATTTATGTACAAAACTTTGGGCCAAAAGGACATAAATTACCAAAATAATGACTGAAAGAAACAAGTTAGTAGAGAAGATTGGAATTTGTTTGCCCACCTGGTTTTGGTCTTATAACTTGAGGTATAGAGAAATTTTAGTGAAGCAGGGATTTAGAAAAGTAGCGAAGGCCGGCTACAGTGGCTCATGCCTGTAATCCCAGCAGTTTGGGAGGCCGGGGTGTGTGAATCACGAGGTCAGGAGTTCAAGACCAGCCTGGCCAAGATAGTGAAACCCCGTCTCTACTAAAAATACAGAAAATTAGCTGGGAGTGGTGGCAGGTGCCTGTAATCCTAGCTACTCAGGAGAATGAGGCAGGAAAATTGCTTGAACCCTGGAGGCGGAGGTTGCAGTGAGCCGAGATTGTGCCACTGCACTCCAACCCAGGTGACAGTGTGAGACTCCGTCTCAAAAAAAAAAAAAAAAGGAGTGAAGAAGAGGAAAGAGCTGTGTGATCACCATCTTATCCAATTTGAATCCCTATGGCTAAATAAGCATCAGCAAAAATCTGACCCAACTATTTAAGAGAGGTCTTGTGAGATTCTGGCAACACACAGAACTTCTTTACAAATGACTTTCAAAGGCCCTATGTACTTTTACCTTCTTGGGCCCTTTCCTCCATTAAAAAAAAATTAAATGGTATTTTATAATTACATTGGTATAAAGGTAAATATATTATTATATATTAAAACATTTTCTTTGACCCTAAAGTTCATTTTTTCTTCTGATTTTAAATGAAATTAAAAGTATTTCATGAGCTCCTAACAGTACTGTGGGTCCTAGGTACTGTGCCTACTGTGCTAATGGTGAAGTTGGTCCAGGCCTTACGGCCCTGGGAACAAAGTGTGGCATAGAGTCAGTTAGGGAGGAGGCCCTTCTTTCAGCTTCTGCATGAAATTCATGTTGACTCTGATATCCTCTTGATAAAAAGTCTCAGGACGCTCCAGAGATTGCACCCGAGGCATGGACTTTGGCATTCTTGTGATGGGTAGTGGCATAGATAAGGCTGCTTACAGTGGTTCTGAGACTAACACACATGAGCAAGCGAGAACTAAAGCAGAGAAGGACAATCAGGATGGAGAATTCATGACCACTATGGTGACAGACTGTGTTTTTAATATTTTGAGATATTAATCAAGGTGTTTTCCTCCTGCAAGTCCTTATAACTTTACCCTTCTCTGATGTTAACTATCATTTATTGCTGCAGAGGACAAATGCTATGATAGAGAAGTATAGAGTTTCAAAAGCCAATGCTCCCCCATTATTTTTATTGAAGTATAATTTATTGACAGTAAAATGTGTCCAATTTAGTGTGCAGTTCTACGAATGTTAACAAAATTATATAGTCATGGAACCAGCACCACAATCAAGTTCCATCGTTCCCCCCACATTCTCCAGTATCTCTTTGTAGTCAGCCCTTTCCCTGATCGCAGCCCCAACAACTACAGATGTTTTCTGCTGCCATTGTTGTGCCTTTGCAAGAATATCACACCAATGGAATCATACCGTAGGAAGCCTTTCGGCTCTGTCTTATTTCACTTGGTGTAACATATCTGAGATTTCATCCATGTTGTGTGTATCAGTAGTTTGGGTCTTCTTAAAAATTGCGTAATATATATGTAATATAAAATTTACAATTTTAAGTGTGCAATTCAGTGACATTAAGTACATGCTGTAAGGCGGGTTGCTGCGCCGGGGAGCTCGGACATGCCCATCCCTCTCCGTGCCTGAAAACTACGTCACCACTTGGGCTTGACATCAAGCCCTGCAGTCAGCATCTAGCTCCGCCACGTGGCTTCCCCAACGCTCACTTCTGCACTCAACACTAAACTCCGCACTCAGCACCTAGCCCGCCGTTGGAAAACGCCGCCAAAATTCAAAAGAAGCCCCGCCAAAACCTGCCCAATAGCCTTTTGCCCTGTCCGGGTCCCACTCCCCCTGGGCAGCTGCTCACTGGAAATCCCGCCTACCTACCAACAGCAGCTTGCCCCAATCACGTCCTGTTTCCCCACAACCAATCAAAACGCCTTCACTCCCTATAAAACCCCACACCCAGAAGAGTCAAGCGGGACTTCCCTGGCCCCTTCCCCCGGGACCATGGAACCTCACCCGGGAGTTGAATAAATTGGCATTTAATTTTCTTATGCTGGTCTGTTTCCTCATTCTAAACTCGGTAATAACACTTACACATACACATTGCTGTGTAACCATCGCGACCACCCATCTCCAGAACTTTTTCCTAAAATAAAGCTCTGTATTCATTAAATAACCCCCCACCCCATTCTTCCTCTCCCAGCCTCTGGTAAACTGGATTCTGCTTTCTGTCTCCATAAATTTGTCTATTTTAATTACCTCACATAAGGGAATTATGCAATATTTGTCATTTTGTCTCTGGCTTATCTCACTTAACATAGTGTTTTTAAGGTTGGTCCATGTAGCTTGTATCAGAATTTCATTGT